CCCCTGTATCTGGTTATGATGATGGTCCAAATACAGTAGTGAAGGATGATAACAAAACAGACAATGCATAGAGCATCATTATTGATGATCTTTGGTGGGTATTATTAGATATAAAATTATTAAAATTTGAGTAAAATGAAGAAAGAGAGTGTTTTTGGTTGAAATAATGGAGTATATTGAAATATAAAATTAATAAAATTTGAGTAAAAAGAGGAGATGAGTTGATACTTTTGAAGAGAGAATGTCTTTGTATCAATGGGTTGATACTTTTGGGGAGAGTTTAAACTTTAGTTGGGGTGTATTTAAATATAAAATTAATAAAAGTTGAATAAAAGGATGAAAGAGAAAGTATAAAGTTGAGTAAAAGGAAGAGAGAATGTGTGTTTTAATAATTTTATATCTAATGATACTCACAAAAGATCATCAATAATGATGGTCTAAGCAGACAGAGAGACTTTTCTTTTCCATCTGATCTGTGGTTGTTGTACTAATATGGACAAAGAGACGCTCCTTGGCTTCCTTGGTTCTAACTTATCCAAGCACTTCAGGGATATCTTTGTAGCTCAGAGGTATGTAGATTATGTTTTACTGTTGAATGTTATCTCTGAGTTAGTGTACAAGTAACTTTTTTATTTCTTCTAACTTTGTATCAACCAAAAAGAACATATTCAGTCTCTTTGATTCTAGCGTGTGTAGTCATGGAGAAACCTTAGAAAGGCCACAAACTGTTTCTTGCTCTGTGCGGATAATGTTGTGAAAGTCGAAAGAAAGAACAAAATTTCCATTAAGAATAAGAAACGAGTTTATACATATGAAAATAAATTAATTGATTCACAAAGTGAATAGACAGTAAGACTATATGCTGTTTTCCCTACTCTTCTCTTCATTTCTTCTACAGATCAGAAGGCTTGATGTTTGCAGACCAATCGAACCGAAGTCCGGACTCTCTCTATGGTGAGCTTGCAAAATTGGTTTCTTAATCTGCCCTAGGCTTTCTACAGCACACTTGAAGGCATATTATATCTCAGAAAACAAGAGTGTTTCCCTCAATAATCATCTCATGTTACAACACTCGGGCTTGTTCTGTCTTAAAAGCTTGTCCCATAAGCATATCATCTGTCTTGGCGACTGGTAATGAGCTGTGTAATAGTTCTCAACACAACCAAACTGGCAAAATCTCAGACTGTGTCTGTAATCCACTGGATTTGATGTATTCTTGAAATGCTCCACCCACATTCCTACACTCACATCTTCCATCTTGAACAGCTGGTGTATGTAAACCAAAAGACTTCTTCAACAAAAATGGATATACAGAGAACGAGAAGGGAAAAGAGATGATACAATTTGTTTTATTCCTCTCTTCTGCTTACCCGTAATTTGTGTCTCTCAAACTCTTCCACAATGAAGCGTGCAATGTCAGAAGATAGAACATATCCAGGTCCATTTGCGTAGGGCGGATAGTCCTCCTCCGGCCATTCCTGATATTATCCACGAGACTAACAAGAATCAGTGGCAATAAAAAAGGCTACAGCATGATATATATTCATAGAACTGACACACCAAAGAACAAACACTTAACCGTATAGAGATGGAGTGCGAAGCAGAAGAATGTACCTCGTATGTGACTGCCCATTTACCCCCACGGAGAGGTTTGTGGTAATAATTCATGTTACCAATGTACAAACTTCTACCTTCGGGTACTTTTTTCACTTCGTTGATTACTGCACCAAGTTTTACAAATGTATCATCGTCACACTTCATTATGTACTTTGCAGAGAATGCAAGAGCCTGCAGTAATGAGAAGTCATTTTTTCAAACAATCAACTCCACAGAAGCACTAAATAAAGAACGATTCAGCGAAAGCATGACCTATAAGATCTGATAACTCACTCCGTGTTCACATATGGCAACGGTTTTCAGGACAACAAGATCATAGCTATCCATGTAAGGAACGAGTACAATGTCCCCAAAATACTCTGCTTCTTTCTTCAATTCCACATTCACCTCCTTCCTCCCATGCTGTGATTGTACATCACAGAAACAATAAGATAATAATTATGTCCCAACCTCCCTACTATCAATTCTTCATGACTTATATACATGATAAAAAAGGCAACTTACAAGCGCCACAAAGAAACGCGCAACCACTTTTGAAGACGTAATAAGAACATGCTGCATCCAGGACTTCCTCACGGCCATCCGCTCAGAGAAATGATTGCCTGCAGAAAGAATGCCGATAAAGAGCTCCACAGGCCCATCAGCAACTAAAGGGGCCTGCCATCTCTTTGACAACTCGAGATGCCTTTGGGGAGCAAAGCTGGGATGTGACGTTGGCAGAGAGGCAACAAAAACAGAATGGACATCAATGTCTCCATTTACTGTTAGCCCTGTTGCATCCTCGAGTGTGAAACCCTATTTATATATAGCAGAGAATTACCAAAAAAAGGTTAAGAAAAACAAACCAACCAACTCGTTCAACGATCTGCAACCATTTAGCTGAACACACTCATGTTTACAGAATACGAAAAATGGAGTAGGAAACACACTCACAGTGCGATAAGGGAAAGATGTAACATGCTTTCCATCAACATTGATATGGTAACCTTCTAAACCAGCGCTAAGAGTGAGAACGAACAGCTTCTCTTCTACAAAAGGAAACGGCCATTCTACTTTGACCCTTTTTCTCCTTCCTATTAGTCGATTCAACCACCATCTCGCCCTCGACCCTTCTGAGTAATTATCATCATCACGGATCCACTTCTCACACTTCACATGACTATCAACTGCAACCACACTAAAGTATTAATTACTCCACTTGGTGGTCAGGTTAAAATTGAAGCACAAACTTTGCAGCTAAATCATTTGCTAGCTTCAAATGGATCACAAACCGATTATACACAGATACCAAAATAACAAAAGAATAAACCTCACCAGTCTCTTCCTCAGCTCTAGACCTCCATCCTTCACATCGTTGTGAAGATCCCCATTGCATCCTATAACAAGTGTTCTGCTCAATCACCGGTTTTCGACTCCAATCTCCCTTTAACCTCGGATTGAAATGCAAGATTCGAGGAGGATCCTCTCCTTCAACAGAATTCAAACCTTGTAACTCAATCACAAACTGAGACACTAACTTAGACTCATCTCCTTCCTTAGGATAACTTTTCCTCGGCCTCCCTACCAAAGTTATGTGCGAACCCAACGTCAAACCACAAGGCAACTCCATCAGTTGGTTCTCCCTGTTCATAAACTCCGAACCGGTTAACGAAACCGAATGTGGACACGAATCTGATTTGTTCTTCTCAGGCTTCTCCACTGATTTCTCAAGCCTTCCTGATTCAAGCTCCTTCCATAGCTTTCGACCTAATTGCCAAGCTTCTTTAGCTGACTTGTGAAGCTCCACTGACCCATCTTTACTACTCGGGTCGAAAGTTTCCGAATCAAATCTCAAGCTTGAGAGAAGACCACGGTTATGTTCACGGACCTTGTTCTGGTCCGTTCGGTTTAAGGTCAGGTCTAAATCCGGGCTCGTAACTGTCTTCAATGGAGGATTAGGGATTTTCTCGATTACAGGCTCTTGCTCGGTATCGAGTTTCTCGAGTCGAGAAAGAGAATCGAGAGAGACGGAGCTGCTAGACCAGGATTTGAATACGAGAGGTATCTCTACTGAGACAATTAGAAGATAGAGAAACCCTGTTGCCATAATTACACGAACCGATCTCTGCTTCCATAGTGACGAGAACAGATCAATCTTGTCGATTTTTTCCACTTTCGACAATTTGGGTTTCTTCATTTCTTCGTCTTTTTTTTCCCTTAGGATCCAAGAAAAGGGATCAATTGAAAAGAAAAAAAAAACCTAACTTTTGAATTAGAGGAATCCGAAAATGGTAGAAAGTATTCAAATTTGTTCAAAGAGAAT